TTTTTCTAATTGTATGTCTTTGATATGATACCTACGACCTAGGTTAATATCTATACTAGGTTTGCCATTAATACCTTTGCTATATTTATAGTATAAAATGGTGGTCTGGACATACAACATTGCAAGTTGATAAAAGAGTGGTAAAATATGATTCATGGGCCATGCGGTACTTTTAATCCTAATTCACCATGTATGCAAAACGACAAATGCACAAAGCGATATCCACGTGTGTTGATTACTGTAACTCAAACTGGAGGTGATGGATATCCTCTCTATAGGCGAAGAAATCCCACTAATGGTGGATACACAACTACTATTAAGATGCGAAATGTAGATATGGACATATGTAGACAATAGATGGATCGAGTCATACTCGCCACTACTTTCAAAAATGTTTAATGCTCACATCAATATTGAGTATTGTAATTCAGTTAAGTCCATAAAATATGTTTGTAAATATGTTAACAAGGGCAGTGACATGGCAGTATTCGGATTAGCAATTCGAGGTGATGAGATCACGCAATATGAAACAGGGCGCTACATCAGCAGTAACGAAGCAGTATGGCGGATGTTTGCATTCAATATTCACGAACGATATCCAACTTTTCAACATCTCGCTGTTCATTTGGAAAATGGTCAGCGGGTTTACTTCACCGAAGAAAATGCGCAAAATAGAGCAGAGCAACCACAAAACACAACACTGACCACTTTTTTTCCAATTATGTACATCCGAAAATTTTGCTTATTCGCCCAAATATTAAATATTATACTTGGAACACATCGACAAGAAAGTTCAGCAGAATAAAAAGAAGTGCAGTTGTTCCAGAGCATCGTGGTATAAATTCGTCCGATGCATTGGGACGTGTGTATACTGCTCATCCAAATAACGCTGAATGCTATTATTTGCGGTTGTTGCTACATACAATCAAAGGGCCGAAATCATTCCTTGCATTGAAAATCATCAACGGAGTAGAATGCCAAACGTATAGAGAAGCGTGCTTTAAACTGGGCTTACTTGAGAATGATCAGAATTGGAACACAACTCTGACCGAAACATCACTCACGTGCATTCCAAAGCAAACAAGAACTTCTTTTGCGATAATTTTAACAACATGCGCAACATCGAATCCTCGACAGCTGTGGGAAATGCATCGTGAAAGCCTCAGTGAAGATATTCTAAGACAAGCACGTGCAAGCGATCCAAATCAGGAATATTGGGATGACATTTCCAATGAAGATTTAATATTAATGGAGGGCTTATACATGTCAATGAACAACAAAGCTCTTTGTCAACTTGGTATGCCGGCACCGACAAGAGATAGAAATGCTGTACAAGACAGAGACAGAGATGCGATAACAGCAGTTTGATGCAAATCAGCTTGAACGATTTGTGCAAATGCAAAGTGTTTCTGGTCGCTGATCAGAAAAATACTTATGACAAAATCATGCAACGTGTAACCAAAGGAGATGGTGGAATTATCTTTCTAAAAGCAAACATTACCCGTTTTACCACGATCAACGCCTTCAGACGAGCTGAACGCGTGCTTAGAGGCATCGCATCTGTGGAACTATGTCGAAAAAAATTACGCTTAAGTTCCTATTGATCGCACAACAAATGAGATATCATTTCCGTCCAACTTTTGTCAAATGCAGCGGAGCATTCAATACGTCATCGACAGAGTATTTCCAAATTTAACGATCAACTACCGAAATCCGGAATGGCTCTGCGAACATGCAATTTTAGGTCCGAAGAACGATGATGTTAGTGAATTAAACGGTCAAATTCAATTGAAAATTCCAGGAGAAGCAGTTGAATATAAATCGATTGATACAGTAATGGACAAAGACCAAGCCTCCTCATTCGTTGGCGTTAAAAGTTGGATCACCAGTGATGCTTATTCGGAACTTGAACGTGCCAAAACTGTGCAACGGAACCAGGGTGATAATAAATAAATTAACACCGAATTTGATCGAGGCAACAATCATCAGCGATAAATTTAAAGGCGAAGATGTGCTGATTCCACGTATACCGATGATTTCCAACGATTTACCGTTCGAACTCCAGCGGCTTCAATTCCCTTTGCGTCTTGCCTTTGCAATAACTATAAAATAAAGCACAAGGGCAATCATTAACTATCGCGGGTTTAGATTTGACAAATTCGTGCTTTTCACATGGTCAATTATACGTCTTTTGTTACCGAACTGGGACACCACAAAATCTATTTATCTACACACCAAATGAAAAACTAAAAATATTGTTTATCCCTTAGCATTAAAGTAAATAAAAAGGTATTCAATTTCAAAACTTTAAATACATGTGTTTTTCTTTGGCGTAGCAACGCGCGCCGGGTACTGCTAGTTGGTTATATATTAGAAGTAGATTTAAAATATCCAACAACCCTACACGATTATCATAATGATTTTCCGTTTTGCACAGAAAATAAAAAAGAACGAAAATATGAAACAGGCGAAACTAGTAACCGTTTTAATACTCAAGTAAAAATATATTATACATAGGAATCTTCAACAGTGTCTGAGTCATGGATTAATTTTAACTAAAATACATAGAATACTGAAATTTAATCAACCGGATTGGATGAAAAAA